TTAGTTTTTTGAAGTATTGTTGATTAGCTATGGAAAATAAACCAACGGTGCTTGTATTGGGCGGTAAGTAGATAAATATTTTTCTGAATTTTGGAAGGCGGAGCAGTTTTATGCAGATAATCCCGATTATAATTAATATTTTTTTCTTTGTGTTACTATCTTTGGTAATACTATGCGTGCTTAAATTAGGGTGTGGATTTATCGGCCGTAACATGGTGGCTTATCTCGTTGAGAACGATTTGACGGATGAAATACGTGTAGTGGACAAAACTCCACCGCAAATGGCTTGGTTAAATGAGCGTCATACTCAGGCATTTGATAACAAAAAAGTGGAATTTTGTAGTGCCAATCTTATAAACGCCGGTAAGTATTAAAACCTGCCCATATTTGAATATTATTGTGAGTAATGCCTACGTATGACCAACCCACACAATTTGTATGCACGCCGCGCAGAACTTGCTTGGCCTGTTGCATTTCATTATTTACATCTTGATTATCCTCCTTGTAGCCTCTTGTAAAAATGTTTTCGCCCCACACCCAACCACAGGCAGGACGTGGGATTTAGTATTCAACTGTGCGGCTGAAACTCGTCCAAATCAAACCGAAGCGGTCTATAAGGAAGGGATACTGAAATTAAGTATGAATTGCGCCAATGAAGCAGCCAACGTTAAAGTGAAACGATTTGTCGAATTAAGTTCCGGTTGCGTTAACAGTTCGGAAAAGGTTGCACAAAGAGAAGACTGCAAACATGAACCATGGACTTGTGTAGCTAAGCAAAAGTTGACGGTTGAGCGTGAGCTCGATACGCTGAGTGAAGTTCTGCCATACACTGTTGTACGACTGCCAGTCGTCTACGGGTTAGGCGATAAACGCTACTTAAGTGAGTGGTACTTATTGAAAGTAGATTAATCTGGTATTTTATTTATCACTGTCTGATTATTTGTTGTTCATTTGCAGTGCCTCGCATTATTGTAGCTGCAATATACAAGTATTTGAATGAATGTATGAAGTTACTGTGGAACAATTCCATGCATCTTAATACGGTACATGCAGATGACGTTTGCGCAGCAATGTGGTTTTTGGCAAATAATCTAGCTGCAGTAGGTGAAGTAATTAATATCGTCGATGATACTGATTCCACACAAGGAACTATAAGTGATATTTTATCAGACATATTCTCAATAAACGTTGACTACTTTGGCGTAGTCATGTCGAATTTAGCAAAGGTATCAAGTTAACTCATAATGTTACTGTGTCCTTTAATAAATTGTCTTACATTTTGCAGTTAAGTCTATCAGACACGGTTAGTGATGTCAACGACAAACATATGACGCCGTGGGCCGAAATTTGTCAAAAGAATGAAATCAATAATACACCTCTAACGCCATATTTGGACGAAGAGCAATTGTATCATAAACATTTGTATTTGGATAATACAAAATTAAAGACTTTAGGCTATGTGCTCAAAGAACCAAAATTAACGCGTGATTATGTAACTGAGATTATCGAAGACTATATAAAGCAAAAGTTATTTCCAAAGTCCCTAATGATCTAAACTTAAGCCCTGCAAACTTTAGTACTTAAGGACGTTTATAAGACATGACTCAACTCAATTAAAATGCAAGTATGTGAAAACAAAAATTGTATATAAACTGATATTAATGTAAAATAATTCAATATTTTGATTGTATTTGCTAAGAACAAAATACTAATTTTTTGTACAATTATTGTACCATGCTGATATTTTCTAAAGTGTACTTATAGTATTACCGCATAGTGTGTTATTGTATTTTGGTATTCCAAAACAAATTTTAATGGTTTTACTTATGTATGTATGTACTCGTATTTACTAAAATTATTGGTGATGTATTATAACATTTTTAATATACACGATGAATGTATTTTGTACAATGCAATTACATAGTTTGTCATATAAATGTGCCAAAATAACAAAAAAAAGTATTTAGAAAGCTTTTTATTTCGAATTAAAATGTGGGATTAGCAGTAAGAATACCATTGACTTTACCCATGAATAACTTTTAGCACTGCAGTCCATGCTGGTGTGAATAAAGGACCCGAACATAGGGACGATACTGGCAAAGGACAAAAATATCCGTGATGAATTCTGTCCAAGAATTTGGCATACATCCAACTCGCTTCATTGCGAAACGCTCCTGCCAGACTACAAGGTATGCATATCGTCGTTTAAAGTACAAAACCGCCTATCGTGGTTCTGCAAACCGTAACTAACATTTGTGCCAAGGGACATTTGCTCACCGGAAGCTCCTGGTATAAAGTCCATATCCCTTCATATTAAAACATCGATACTTAGATATATGAAGAAAAGATAATTGGGGAAAGGGGAGAAAGTTTTACTCCTATTGCCAAACTCACATATGACGTATTGCATTTTATTGATACGCGGTTTAGTGCTTTAAAGACGATACCTATACCTGAAGCTTTCTTACCGCTTTTGGAGATTTTTTTACCGAGGATGAAGTAGACAGTATCTTTGCAATCAAAATTTCAGCGAAAACCACGGAAATGCAGTTGCCAATATAGCAACTTAGTTCGCAACTTTCTGTTGCCAGTTGCCATCAATAATACCAACCGAAGTTCGGTGCAATCCGTAATCGACCCAAAAATGCGCTGATATTTTTGGGGCACTTTAGTTAAGAAAATATATACATACATATATACATTAGATATGATAGAATTACAATTTTATAAATTTCCATTTCAATTATTCATCTCAAGTTCGGCTTTAATGGACGCACTGATCGAGGAACGGTTTAGTAAGCTGGTGCGAAAACCCCAACAACTATTTGCATACTACTAATAGATCTAGTTGATATATTTTCATCTAAAAGAAAACATCAAAATGCTTGTTTAAGATATTTATGTATTATTTTGTTTTATTGTAAGGATTAAAAATTTACGGCAATACAGCTCATGATTTCTTATATTCCAATCTCTTTTATTTTCATAAGTCAATTTACAATAAAATGCATTTGCTTCACATTTCAAACTTAAATTTATAAAACAAAACGGGACTATTTAAAAACGGAATAAAACATGAATTAAGTTTAATACAGTTGTTCGGATGTTTCTTAGTTTGTAAAATAAATTACAGCAAGCATATTTATACACATTTAATAGTCATTAGATAACATCATAAGTTGATAGCGAGTTCCTGATTGATTATCGGCTTAGCACCAAAGCGGTGGCGAAATGTCAATAATGTATGCGTCACTTTCGTACATATTTTAATACATATGTATGTATATTCGGACACTAACTAATCAAAAGTGTGCTATATGTATGCACATCTGTAATTATGTACGCATGTTGTTAAAACTTGAGACGAATGGCAGGACGTTGACATTGTTTTATATCTCTTTTTACGAATAATTAAGATTTAAATAATTGAAATTGATGATTCGATTCACATTGAATAAAATTTATGATAGTTTAAATATTCATGAATGCTTTTTGTTTCTTTTTTTAAGCGAGTGAATTTATTATTTTTATTTATTGCGTATTTTAATTATTATTTAAATGATGTGCCTCCACTGTACCATTTGCTCAACTGGTTGCTTATAATTCTAATTAGGTGATATTTTGTCGCATCCCATGCATTGCATATTACTTAAAAAGCCAAGCCAGCGTCGCGGTATGTGGTGAATATCTTCTCAATGGAATTCACATAAGCTGCAGTTCTCAAATCCAAGCCCAAGTTGTATTTCATAGCGGTCTTCATGATGGCACGTGCCGAACGCTCCATTGTGTAGTCCAAACCAGAGTGTACGATATCCTTCTCAGATGCACCAGAGATTCGCTTCTGGAATGCTTCCGAGGGAGTGACTGGGATACGGCCACCGACACGACCGAAACGACGTTCCAGGGATTCTTGAACAGATTCTGTTTTGGTGAAAAAAGGCATAAGAAATGACTTGATTATTTAAAATATGTAACATTTATTGGATTGGTATTTATGGGATTTTTAAAGCAACCAATGTATGAAGAATGCAGTAAAAATAATTGGTACAGAGACTATTTAGCAAACTAAGGTTAACTAAAATAAGGATTTGTCTAAGATATAAAAAAATAATAATTTAGTAGCTTTCATAATAAACAAAGTGCATAATTAGTCAGCTTAATTTCGAGGATAGATTAATTTTTATTTAGCTAAAGAAAACGTGCATAAATGTTTGCATGAATTGGGCGAAAGGATATAGGGATAAGGCGAACTAAAAAGTATGTACAAACACATACATTCCTACATACATTGTATATACAAACATAGAAGAAAAATTACGCTTACAAAAATTGGTTTAATAATCTACTTAGTGGTGAACAGAGGGAACTCGGTATACCGCAAATTTTCGTACTAAAAATGGCGCGGTATATCTGGATATGCAAAACATTTAAAAGTTAACATTCAACAAAAAAACAGCTCAGATAAAAAAAAAAAAATAGTTCGAAATATGAAATGATGCAAAGAGTAGAAAAAAGAACTGTACCGTCTAAAACAAATCGTTCAATGGATTGTTGGACTGAGGCTAGATTTGTAATAGAAGAACGAAAAAAGAAAAACATAAATTACTTCTTTGTGGAAACTTGTATGTGTTTTAAGAGCTAACATTCGATTAAATTTACTTCTAATTAAGATGTGTAATAATGTGCTGCGAAATAAAAAATACTAAAAAAGTTGATGTAGGGATAAAATAAATAATAATTGAATAGCGCATTTAAAACAGAAGTGTTAACTAAAAATAATTGATCTTTTAGTTTTTCTAAAGTTAAAAGCCGACTTTAAATTTAGGTCAATCCTAGAAATGTTACCGCCAGGATTGTCCAGAATGAGGCTGAACAGCCCTATTAAGAAATTTGAGTATTCAAATAAGATTTCAGAAGAAGCGCAGCTGTCTATATACTGTCTATATACCGCGGTGTCTGCATTGGTATCCCCGTGAAACTAATACGACAGTGTAAAATGACTGTAAGCAATACGGTTCCACGACAGTAGGGTCTACGTAACCGGAACGACTCAGATTTATATTTGGCACAGCAACACTTTCCAAAAACCTTTTGGGGAATTTGTATGCTGTTGAAACAACAACAGCAACCGTTAGCAATAACATGCATTCTTCTATGCTTTCCTATTCGAGTTCGAGTTTAAGGTCGCGTTCGTCTTCGTATTCGCCATGTAAGTCTTTTCCATTAACATCTGGCTCGTAATTATTTGGTAAATTATTGTGAGTTTAAGACAATGATATTCTTTATCACAAGATCATGGATTTGAGAAAAATGCCCAAATTTTCTTTTTCACACCAACAAAACCCTTAGAAAGAAGTTTTCACAGAGTAAACTTTTTACAAATCAATTAATTTTCGTTTGAAAACAGAATCGTATTTTCACATATGTGAAGTGATGAAAAATGTTCTCTCTTCACGTTTCCACAGAACGAGAATTGGCACCCTGGATTGAAGAATTTAGGCGCAGAATAAAAGCTGCCCTACGAAAATGAACCTATTCGAAAATGCGACTTTTTTGCATGGCTCATTCCGCAAATGTTTTTTAATCTTTAGCTAAACGTGAGAAAATAGAATCAGATGCATTAATTTAATAACTAAATATTTGGCAATTCAATGACTCGAAGATATCCTCGCCATATTTAAAGCTATGAAATTTCAACTGCTAACAATATGTCATAAATAACTTATGTAGGATTTAAGAATTAAACGACTAAATTCGGCACAAAAAATACGTTAATAAAAATTATCATTTTCATAGACAGCATTTTTAAATGTCGCATTTTTTCATTTAATTTCAACGCCTAGTGAAAATTTGATATTATATGTACATAAACATACTTATGTATACAAATCCGTAACATTTTGATAAAAACAACTTAAGTGTCTTTTGAAGGTTTGTTTTGAAGTTGCTGTTAAGGAGGCATCTTAAACTCCACCCATAGCCAGTTATTCGTTAAAATATTGTTTGGAGACTCAAAGAAATATTGCTTTAAAAAGGAAATGACCTAACTTGCGATATGTTGTTTTATCAAAATGTCACAATATAGATATATAAGCTTACAAATAATACTTAAAGTCAATGAATATGGAATTTCAAAAAGCATTAACACCTTATTAGAATATATCAATCAATCACAGATGAGCACGAACTGATTGGAAAGTATGGAGAAAGAAATAAACAACAACAATATAAGGAAATCAAATAATTCAAATAGAAATTGATGAAGACTTGCAAAGATGTCGATTAATACTGTGAAAGCATATCGAGCAATCGCGGGAGCACGCTAGCATTTTTGAATGAGCCGTATGCTTTGCACTGTGTAGATTTTTTTTCTTGTAATGCCGTGGCATAAATAGAAGGTTCAAGAATCTAAAAAAAAAATTAAGAAACGAAAATATAATAACTAGTATCGTCGCACTTACCAAGCAGATGATAGTTGGATTCGCGTTCATATTTGAAGGTCAAACGTCCGTAAGAGACGTGGTTTAAGTTTTTCAGCCATTCGAAGAATGATACGGTTACACCACCGGCGTTTATGTACAAATCGGGAATAACCAAAATGTTGCGTTCAATTAAAATTTTATCGGCTGCTGGAGTGGTAGGACCGTTGGCAGCCTCGGCAATGATCTATTAAGTCAAGAGAAAACGGGATGGAGAATTTTCGATTAAATGTAAAATTGCTGCAATTTAGAGTAGGAAAGTTCAGTGGGGAGTAGGGCTGCGATTATCTGTGTATTCGGATACCCGTTCAGATATACGTGTCTAATATCCGTTCTATTATCTTATGCAGATATCCGGTTCAGTCCCGGTTAATATCCCTTAATTTTTTTATCCTGATATCCGGTTAGTATCCTTTTGTAATCCGGATTTTTCAATCAGATAGATATTCGAATTATACGGATAATCAAAAAATTCGGATATAACTCGCAGGCCTAGTGGGAAGTTAAAAATCTCTTGAAATTACCCAAATGAAAAGCTCGATTTTTGAATTAAAGACCGTACAGTTTAAGTGACTTAGTTACTTTAAGGGCTAGGTTTTCAGTGCCTGTTCAAACTTAGATCACGTAAACTGCGTTCATATCTAACAGCTGGCTGACTAAAATAAATCATCTTAACACTCGGTAGGAAAAATCAACCAACACAAACAAATAAATCGGTTTAAACTATGTTTAAACCACAGTAAGATTTAACCGTGCTCTGAAAAACTAGCCCTAAGCGAGAGATGCCATAAATTAGGTTATTTTACTTTTAATTAAAACAAAATAAAAACATAAACGAATGTTTGTGACCATGGCAGAATACTCAAACTATTATAAAAATAACTATCTTTATTTGAATTAAAAGTGGTCTCTCAGCTCTAATAGCAGTTCCAACTCTAATTACAGCTCAACTATTAAATTAAACTTACCTTAGCTTGGATCTTGTGTGCATTCTCGCTGGTGATGACTTTCTCAACAGCAGCTGGCACGAAGATGTCACATGGTTCAAACATCAAATTCTCACCCTCGTAGGCCTTAGCTTTCGGGAAACCGACAATGGTGCCGTGTTCGTTCTTGTAATCTTCCAATTCCTGTTAGATAATGCATTAAATCACTAACCTCAATGCCAAAAAATACCACCGAACTATGTATCATACAAACCTTAGGATCAATACCCTCCGAATTGTAGATGGAGCCATCGTGCTCAATAATGCCAACACAGGTGGCACCAGCACGGGTCAAGTAACGGCAAGTGTGCAAACCGACATTACCGAAACCTTGCACAATGAAAGATTTGCCGCCCCAGCCGGGAGTGGTGCCTGAAAATACAATCAATAATGTACTTTTCAACCGAATTTACATTTGCATCTATTTTACCAATCATGCTCATGTAGTTGGCTTCATTGATAAAGTTCTCCAGACCGTGGAAAACACCACGACCCGTCGCTGATACACGCCCATGGATACCACCCTGGTTGATAGGTTTACCAGTTACACAAGCATGTGCATTGATATCTAAATGGCCAATCGTTTTGGCATATGTGTCGGCAATCCAGGACATTTCACGCTCTCCCGTACCCATATCCGGTGCTGGCACATCAACACCGGGTCCAATGAAGCCTTTCTTCGCTAACTCAAGGGTGAAACGGCGGGTAATCTTCTCTAATTCATGTTCGGAGTACTCTTTGGGGTTGATCTTGAGTCCAGCCTTGGCACCACCAAATGGTACATCGACACAGGCGCACTTAAATGTCATTAGTGCCGACAAGGCTTTGACTTCATCACGTGAAACATCCAAAGAGAAACGAATACCTATTTATATAAGATATAATAATATAAAATTCATATTTGATAAACAGGTGGCTTAATTTACGAATTAATATTTTATGTACATATATCAAAATGCTAAGTAAAAGAGGCTGAACTAAACAAAATTGGTACTAATAACACTCCAAAGTTAAAAGAAAACCCGCACGCAAAAGTGCAATTTAATAAGGCATAAATAAAATACAGAATCCGACATTTGCACGCAAATTCGTTTGTGTTTTGGTGGGTATTCTCTGCAAAATTCACGAGTCTCATCGGTAGCAGCTATTACCAAGGAAGTCAATCAAATCAATGAAGTCTAATCAAAATGTTTTCTATAATTAATGTTATGCACTTTTACCTGTCTACCGGTATTAATCATATGTCTAAAAATACCGTACCACTACATGTACAAATTATTCTAATATGTGATATGTAGCCAAGTGGATTTCGTCTCAAAACAAACGTATATGCAGTAGCTGATATGTTTATTTTTTCATTCTAAGTAGTTGGAAATTGACGAAAGCTACCAGTTGGACAGCGTCCAACTTATTCGNCGGATTTCGTCTAAAAACATACGTATATGCAGTAGCTGATATGTTTATTTTTTCATTCTTAGTTGGAAATTGACGAAAGCTACCAGTTGGACAGCGTCCAACTTATTCGCTTTTTTAAAACCTGCCAATTGGTTGAACATGTAAATTCGTTAAAAGGAAAGGGAATCCAAGGTGGCGACGTCTAGTCTTTGGTGTAAAAATTTCAATCAAATAAGAAGGTGTTAATGTAGAGATCGGTCAATGCGGCAGCATGTAGCGTTTGGCCACAAACAGCAGGCGAGTTGTGTAATTTCTACATACATATGTAGAAGATAATACATTATGAACTGATTTCACGTGCGCATTGTGACTAGATGATCTAAAAAAAAAACCAACTGNAGCGTTTGGCCACAAACAGCAGGCGAGTTGTGTAATTTCTACATACATATGTAGAAGATAATACATTATGAATTGATTTCACGTGCGCATTGTGACTAGATGATCTAAAAAAAAAACCAACTGACTTTAATAAAGGCCGAAACGGACATAAAAATAAAGAGGAAATACATCGGTAATTTTCATACCAAAAATTTTATGCACAATTCTACAAGTTTAGTTTATATGCACTTTTTGGCCAATCATCTAAAAACTGCATGGCACAAGTATATATATCGAGCCCTAACCGCCAAAATAACGTAAGCGAAATTTTTTTCAAAATTTTCTTTTTGATGCAGAAATATTCCTAGAGCATCTAGATACATTTCTGCATAAAAAAAAAAAATTTGAAAAAAATGTCGCTTACGTTATTTTGCCGGTTAGGGCTCGATATATACTTAAATTTATGTACATTATCCTCTAGTTGAAAATATACTTCGAAGATTTTAGTGTAAAAAACTTCCGTCATGGCCATACACCAAACCATATATTTTTCTTTAATTTGTAACTCGATTTGTAAGTGTTGAGTAAATTATCACCCTTATTCTAGAACCCAAATTTTCGTAAATCGTAATTCGTAGCTACGTTACGAAAAACGAAAAATCGACATGCAACGCTTGCGGAAACCTGTGCAGTAGGGTGTCCCGTCAAAAAATTTTTTTCAGCTACACTATCGCAAGAGGTATCGAAATTTGCGTAATTTTACACATGTTTAGAAAAAGGTAAAAAAGTCAGAATTGTGTCTCATTTTGAGGGCTCTACCACACCATGAAGTTTTCCACGTATTTTATATGAGAAAAAACACTTCTTCGTAGAAATAGAGATAAAATCCTTAAAAGTCAATATTTTTCAATTAGCAAACTCTTTTTCTCTTTAGGAGACGTCAAGGAATAATATCCAGTTATTTATTTAACCTTTTTTTTAATATTAATGATTTTTTTTATGGTTCCCCCATTTAATTATTAGTATTAAAAAATCGTTAGGTTAACAATTAGGTATTATTCTTTGAAGTCTCCTAAAGAGAAAGAGTTTGCAAATTGCAAAATATTGACGCATCTACATTTGTCAGTTTCCGGTTGAATTNGTACATTATCCTCTAGTTGAAAATATACTTCGAAGATTTTAGTGTAAAAAACTTCCGTCATGGCCATACACCAAACCATATATTTTTCTTTAATTTGTAACTCGATTTGTAAGTGTTGAGTAAATTATCACCCTTATTCTAGAACCCAAATTTTCGTAAATCGTAATTCGTAGCTACGTTACGAAAAACGAAAAATCGACATGCAACGCTTGCGGAAACCTGTGCAGTAGGGTGTCCCGTCAAAAAATTTTTTTCAGCTACACTATCGCAAGAGGTATCGAAATTTGCGTAATTTTACACATGTTTAGAAAAAGGTAAAAAAGTCAGAATTGTGTCTCATTTTGAGGGCTCTACCACACCATGAAGTTTTCCACGTATTTTATATGAGAAAAAACACTTCTTCGTAGAAATAGAGATAAAATCCTTAAAAGTCAATATTTTTCAATTAGCAAACTCTTTTTCTCTTTAGGAGACGTCAAGGAATAATATCCAGTTATTTATTTAACCTTTTTTTTAATATTAATGATTTTTTTTATGGTTCCCCCATTTAATTATTAGTATTAAAAAATCGTTAGGTTAACAATTAGGTATTATTCTTTGAAGTCTCCTAAAGAGAAAGAGTTTGCAAATTGCAAAATATTGACGCATCTACATTTGTCAGTTTCCGGTTGAATTGTTGAAGCACAAGACATAACTCCTCCTATACCGGAATAACCAGTTAATGCAATAAAAGCTTCTTTCAAGCCACTGAAAATATGCATTTTGTTAGGTCCACCACCTGTTGCGCTTGCTTTTGTCTTGGGCCGCGCTTAGGGATTATAACCCTTACTAAGTAGAATTCTCGTTTCTTTGCTGCCGGAGAAGAGAGACTTCCGAAATTCCGAAAAGGTATACAACATTTCTTGGTCATATAACTCAGGCAATGCCATCCACAGTATTTTTGCGCAGAACCCACATTGAAATTTACCAAAAAGTGAATAGTGCAAACCGAATTTATTAATAAATTTAAAATCTTTTAGTTTAAATTTGTATCCTTTGACTACACGTGTATATTAAAGTTTATAGATACGGGTCATGCCTTTGGACACAACAACCGAAAAAAACATTGTGCAAATAACTAAACCGGACCCCAGGTGCGCGATTCATTCGAAACATTCTTTTTTGTTTGTTTGGCCGTTTTGCAGAGGGGTGACCGCTATTAGAAGAAAACCGTTTTTGTTTTTATATTTTTTGAAGTTGGTTTGAACCGGGCTTGAACCCAGGCTCTGCGGAATGGTAGCGCGCACTGCTAGCCACTACATCACAGCAGCCGCCTTAATATTTATTTATCTGTTGAAAAATATTACAAAAATAGATAGAAGCTCTAAGTTTTGTCTATGGAAATTTGTACTTCATACATAACGTTCGTATCTGTTTTTGAACAAAAACTGGACATTGCTGCAAAAAAATCGGTTTCGCAGTATCTTTACTTAAAAAAAGCATTCTTTACAGTACAGTATTTACTGAAATAGTTTCTCAATAAAATAAAGGAATTCCTGGTACTATGTTTACCTGTTTTAACCCGCGACAAAATGATACGATCTAATGCTGGATTTCCACTAGGCATTAAATGGTAAAAATTGTAATGACAAGTTGGGCATTAAAAAATATTCGTGTCATTACGATCAAAAAATAGTCATTAAATTCATTCCACATGTCATTTTTTAAATGCATCCAATTCTCCGTCATTCCAATGCCTAGTGGAAATTCGGCATAACAATTTAAATGTCTAGCTTTGTACAAAAATTAGAAAAATTCAAAAAAGTTGCACCTTATAGTGTCTACAAAATACTTGTTGTTGGTTTTTTTGTTGTTACTATGTCCGACAATTTTTTTCCTATGGACTAAAATAATACCAGATTCAGAAAAAAAAGCTAAGCCTATTGAAACTTGAACTTTATTACAAGAATTTAATGAGCCACAAAACTGCATACCATGGTACAATTATTGTAGGTATTGTCTTTCCAGAGAGTTTTGCTTCACATCGAAATTCGTGCTCCCTTATTTCCATTTTGACGCATTTCAATGTTGATTCTTTTACTCTTAGTTAGCTTTGCTTTTCGTTTTCGCTCAATTTAATTTTTATGATTTTTCTAAATAAAAGAAAAAACGTTTAAAATAAAGAGAGGAATAAAAATTTTTGATTTGTTTACTAAGCAAATGTTTATTTTTCGACTTTTGCAAATTAAATAAGTTCTCTGCAAGATGGTTCGTAAAAAAAAATACGTGGACATGTATGGTATATGCAAAATGTATTCAACAAAGTGTGATTGAATTTGACCTTGCTCTCAGAAGAACCATTTTATAAAGTCGAATTAAAAAAATTTTGTATGAATTTTGAATCGATTGTTTATATTTTTTGCCATAATAGTACCTTAAAAAAGAGCCTACCTGAGTTGTCAATGACACCTTGGGTATATGGCAACGGTGGGCAATCACGGGTTTTGAGCCAAATGCGGCTCTTTTTACTTTCTCTTTGCTTAGGACATTTTGGCTCTTATTACATTTTAAAATACACATTTCTTTTTTGGACATTCTTTTCCAATGTGTTGTTTTTTTATTTTATTCTTTTTATATACACATACGTAAATTGAGTTCGGAATATTACCCGCAATTGGAGAATGAAAATTAGCTTTCTGACTTGATGTTCTTTACCGATATGGTGGAACATTTGCAATACATACTTGAATTTGTCTCTACAAGGAGAGAATAAAAATCTTTTCGATTATTATAAGTTTTGAGGCTATACTACGTCTTTTTATTTATGATCTCAAAAAAATAATATTTCATCATTTTCCATGGCTAGAAAAAATATTGCACATAATTCAAAGCAGATGTTGAAAAAAGATTTGCCGATTTGAAATTATTTAAATGTACGTTTGCATACTTCACAAACCATTTTGTATGTAACA